TGTAGCCTATGTCTCATATCATATTATGTCGCATTACTATATTTTAATATTTACTTATCTACCGATATAATTGTACTTACAACAGTAAGTTACAAGGCATCGGCCCAAAACCCATCCAAAGACAGCGGCCCACTGTCCTCTAGGACAGTAAACCACTGGGCCAGTCCGCCCCTGCTAATACTTGACGAAACGCGTCACCTGTTTAACGACGAGGAAGGTTTGTATAGTTGAATACGGCGCGTCAAGGCAAGACGCACATCAGTCATTTGTGTATATTATTCACAGATCACAGGTTCCTCGTAATGGGACACATGTTAACTACCGTAATTTTGAATTCATTGTATAGTTGGACATACAGTTTAGTGTGTACACACAGATTTGTAAAATCTAAGTAGATGCAAAATCTGTCTGATCACTTAGGCTTTAAATGGCATCATAAATATTTTTATAGACAGACCATTGAACATTGAATGTTTTAAAAAAAAAAATTAAAATTTACGAAAAGGTATATATTTCTAATATCTACACAATTATTATGAATGTTAAAATACTGTTTAATAGAGAATTGCACTGACAGATAAATTAAATTAGGAGAGAGCTCTTCTACATACTCTTCAGTCACGATCCACTCTTCTMTATGTCATGAATTCAACAAAATTATATAYATTTACATTTTACAATAAAAGTTGATGATTTCTCTGTAGGTATTATATTGATAATTGAAATGTACTAACTGTATACTAGACTAGTATGCAAATATCATAAAATTTWTGAATATCTATACCTACCTACTAATATATAGTTACGTAAATAATGTTTTAAGTATTTGAGTGTAATAGTAGTTAGGTATTGTTTAAAATTATTTTGATTAAGTTATACATGCATCTTAAATCTACCTTTTTGATTATCAAAAAATAACCTTTTTTAATTAATTATTGTATATTGACTTTATGAAATACATTAATTACGTTGTATACGTCATAATGCAGGTATTTAAATATTATTGTTTGCTAATTTAATTTTAAATAAATTAGTTCATTTCTATAATTTCTTTTGAGTAATTTTTTTTTTTTTTGTTTATCTAGAAAATTGTACAATCTGTAAAGTAATGATTTACAATAAGCACAAGTTATTAAAGAATTAACATAGAAAAGACAAAATAATATAGGATAAAGTAACAAACAATAGTGACTTAAATTAAATTACACAGTGTTGGTGAGTTGCGGCCCAAACCCTAAATAACGTACAAGTTGCGGCCCGGGTTTATGAGAGGTACGTAGTACGAGTTGCGGCCCGGGTTTATGAAAGGTACGTACGAATTGCGGCCATACAATAATGTATATATTACATATATATATATATATATATTATATACTATATGTCTATATATAAATGTATATAAACATCACAATATTATGTAGGTATTTTCTAGAATAAATTGTCGTACTTATATTAATATTGGTCGTAAAGAAAATAAAAGTATTCATAAAATTATTGAATATAATATAATATATTAATATTATGACATTATATTAAAT